ATAATATTCTCATATCAAATTTAAAACCAGATATTAGTTATACAAAAATATTAAGATCATATAGAAAATTGTCAATCAGATTTTAGTTAAATAATTTAAAATAATTAATGTTTTAATTATATTGTTAATTAGCAAATAATTTATTCCAAAGCTAATTAATTTTTTTATATTAATTATTAGAAAAATTTAATAACTTTTAATTTAACAATTAGATCGATAAAATTTAACACACAGCATGAGTTATTGAGCAGAATAACTTTACCAAAGTTATTTTGTAAGTTATTTGATTCCTCCGCTCTCTCTCTCTATATATATATATATAGAGAGAGAGAGAGAGAGAGGAGGGATGCACCTATTTCGAGAGTAAGTTTACTTATACTTATTTCACTCAATTATTCATATTTTACATCAGATTTCAAATATTCAACCATTAAATTAAAAAAAATTAAGATATAAATCAAATTTACAAATTTTAAAATTTTTAAAAATTATTTAATATTTTTTTATATAAATTTAAATTATTTTTATGATTATTCGTCAATTTGAATTAATTAAACAAAATATCAAATAATTTTTAAATTTTTTAAAAATTTATAAACTTGATTTATATATTAAAAATATTTAATTTAACAGTTAGATCGTCAAAATTTGAAGTAAATCATGAATTATTAAATGAAATAAGTTTATTTGAACCAAGTGAATCTCTCCTTTATATATATTAGTATAAAAAAAAATACATGTATCTTTTGTAGGAATCAAATTTAAAAAATAATACCAATTCAAAGAGCCAACTTGATCCATTTCTTTTTTTAGCATAAAAATTAAGATTATGAACCACCTTATTTGCACAAATTCATGGTCCTTTCTTTCATTTTTCTTAAAAATAATCTCAAGAAAATCTATCATTTCATTTTTTTTTTAAATAATATTCAACCAAATCATATTGATGTATGATATTTTAAATTAATAGATTCACTTGAGAAGTGTGGAGAATAGTTTTGATATTTTAAAATGTCCAAATTAAAAAACAAAAACAAAAACAATGGTAAGGCCTGTAGAGAAAAAATGGAAGTGTAAAAAGAAACGATCATGATTTTGTATTTTTCGTGTAAGAAATTGTATAACTAATTTTAGATTCTTAATGTAATTTTTATAGATCTTTGAATGTCATGTAAGATTTAAGATTTTTTTTTTTAATGAAAGAACCTAACTTAGGTTCTTAATTGAATTAATGTAAATTCCACAATAGATTCACTTTCATCTTTGTTTGTCGTAAGAATGTAGTTCTTATATAAGAATCGGTTCAACACATGGACGTGTAATGATAATAAAAATTAAGAACCTATATAAGAACTCTGACGGGTGATGCCTTAAGAGTTAAGTCCCTGTCATGTTAGTGTTTGAGCCATGACAAGTCACAGCCATTGCACTTTACACTTTACATCCACTTCATCCATGAATCCTAGTACTAGTATAACATTCAACTTCTCAAACCTAATTTCTTCACCATCACACGGAGGTTTAGCAATCATACCATACCACCCCTGCATATTTTAACTGGAAATCACACATTCTAATAATAGGTGCTCATGTCAAACGAAGTTTCGATAGAACATTTTCTTCATAAATTTTTGCTATCATTTGCAACTCACCGTTGATGTCTTCCAAAGATTAAGCTTCTGCCATCCCGTAGCTTGTAATTGTTAGGACACAATGAAGTTAAAATTAACCGGTAGGACAGCAAGATCTACATGGAGTTCAAAATTGAAATGTTTCACTACTCTCACATATTCAAAATGTTTTTAAATGTGACGATGAATGTAAAATTCTAATGGAACCAACATGCTCATGAATGTAAACTTCTAAAGTTTGATTCAAAATTTCTTAGAATACTGGATTTCAACGGATACCAACATGCAACATCCTATGAAATGAAACATGAGAAATTGAGTTCCATCCACAATTATGTGTTTTCTAATTGAGTCACACTCACTATATATGATTCTCGTAAGTGAAATAATGATGATTCACGATCTAATGTAGAAGATATGAGCCACTAGAAATAGCTTTTTACCTCTAACATACAAGCATTTTCTGTTGAAAGATACATTAGTTCATCAACACCGATGTAATTGCTTGAAAAAAAAACCAAGTTCAGAACAAAACTATACTCATGGGCAGCTAAAAACTAATCACATCTGCAAAACTAAACAGTAGCATAAAAGAAGCAATAAACAGAAAATTTATTGGGATCAAAGATTTTGAAAAATACAAAGCTGCTAAGTGTATCTAGTGGCCTGCATTCCTCAATTATATATACATAAATATAAAAGCTGATAGCATAAAAATCTCCCTAAAATGTATGCAACAAATTTCATAAAAAAATCCATGCTCAAATAAGGTAATTGTTGCCAAATTCTATTGCTTACAAGGAAGATAGAAAACTTAATGAGGAGGTCAAGGAGAGAAGCTACCAATGTTTAGTAACCAATTGGAGAAAACCCTAAAATGAGACATTAAAGATCATCCACCCCTTGCATGCTTGAGGCAGGAGCAGAACTAAAGTAATGTAATAGGACATGAGGTATCTTCAAGAACATACAGGATTAAGGGTTATAGTTAATGACCATTGACCAACAATGAAGTTAGAGATACTGCAAATCCAACAAATCTCCATGTTGTAATTGAGAATATTTTATAAAAGAAACGAGCTTTCAGGTAATCTTCAATTCACAAGACAATATTTGAACATTCATGCTTCAACAAGATGGACAGAGGTTAGTATGTGTAGAAAGAAAGTACGAAATCCTCTAATCCTCGTGTAGGACGCATTTTAAAGACAGCATTCAGTAACAAAATAAGAACACAGAGAAACATATTCCGGGTGTTTGGTATTAGTGCATAAGAATAATGTGGGATAATAATGATAGTCAAAGGTTTGGAAGGTGTCAACAACATTAATGCCCAAAGGAATATAATTATTCAGCAACTCAGAAAATAAAAGCACTAAAATGATCAATATTCAATAATTCTACTACTTTTGTTTTACTTTTACATATTCACTATAACCATATTTGATATTTCACGAGACAAAAAGTAACAAGGCAAGAGACTCATTGTGATTTCAGCAATGCAAGGGAGTTGTAAGTGTAAGACACAGATCTATGAAGCACGGATACTTCAATTTGCTTCACGTATCCGTATCCGATACGTATCCGACACGATACTCTTGGATACTTCACCGATACGTGTCAATAAAGTATCTTAACCTTTAAAAATATTATAAAATTTTTATTCAATTTTGATACTTACAGATACTTCACCGATACTTATTAGTGATACGTATCAATAAAGTGTTCAAATTTTTGAAAAATTATGAAATATCCATTGCAACTAAATAAGATATATAAACATGTTTAATATAGAAACATAGAATTATTGGTCCTTGATGAACACGTATCTTACAAGTATTGTATCCTATATATTTTTAAATAATCGTATCGTCGTATCAGATACGTGTCGTATCCGATACGCGTATCGTATCGGTGCATCATAGACACAGATGTTTCTTGACCAAAAGAGAATGACAAGCAAGTTTTATTTGATTCAAGGAATCACATAAGCAAACATTTCAAGATGAAATAATTAAATGCAAACTAAATGATAAAAAAGCATCTAAGATGGATATTGAAATTTGAGATGTAATGCGTCCTTACCTCGAAATAAACAATAAACAAAACGGCAAGGTTATGAATTTATGATCATGAATTTAAAGACATGGCCCAAACTAGAGTAAAGGGCCAATATTTCCAAAGAATATTACAGAGGCAAAGAAGCATCAGGTTGATAACATTTCAAACCAATCTTAATATGTCTTTCCTTTAAAAAATATTTTCTTTAAAACTTTAAGCAGTAAAAGAATGGATTTGAATTTGATTGCCATAAAGGATTTTAGTTATGGTGAACAAACTTACAAACATAGGAAACACGGTAACATATTAGAGCAAAAGAAAAAAACATTGTATCAATGTGAACAGGGTCTAAAACTAAAGGAACTCTCTCAACAGTGTATTCAAGTGTCCATATCTAATGATCTATAAGCAATTATTCCTTCAAAAGAAATATGTTACATTTAAACAAAAAGTATCCTGTTTCCTTGAAGCTAATAGTAGGGTTTAGTTCCATCTGTAAATCCATGTTTACAAAATTGAAGCACTTATAACAAATACTATCAGGAAAAAGAAGAAAAAAAAATGACAGATACAAGTGTTGGAACATTTCTTTCAAGTCCAACAGAGAAAATGCATAGTGCATACACCAGGAACTCAAGAAATCACAAAGACCCTTAGCTCGCCTCTATCTCCTCTTGTCACGCGGGTATCCGCATCAAGATATGTAACTTCAAATTCACCACTTCCTGTATTATTAGATGGAGGCCTCAATGCATCTGGAATTCGAGGTACCTCTAATGGTGGCAACTGTGACAAATTCCCAGCCGTCTTCACAGTGGTTTTCTCAAATATTATCTTTATCTTTGAAGATCCTGGGGAATTTACAAAACTCAAACAAGATAAAAATAAAATAAAAAAAAGGCAGTCTCAAACACTACAATTCTCATATCCAGCGATTAGCAGCAATCATACAAAAGTTACTACTACACATATAAAGATAATAAACAAAAGCAGGAAACATAAACCAACCTATGATTTCAAATTTGTGCGCTAATGTGGCTGTTACTTCGAGGGGTGGCAAGGGCCATGGAGCACCCAATTGAAGCTCCACTATGTTATCAAAATCTTTGCTTAAGATGTCAATTCGTTGAAAAACCTATCAACAGAGAAGAGCATTAATGCAATAAACATTAAGCATTTGGAAACTATCTATTGAATAAAATTAATCAAATATCTAGCTCAGCCCTCAGCTGCCGGGCCAAATTGATACAACTTCTTCCAATCCAAGAAAAGAAGCATAGTGCAACCAATAATTGTATCATTAAAATTAAAGTTGACAATAAGAATAGGAGGAACATAGGCTTTCATTAGAATCTGAAACGTGCTCTACCAATGTGCATCACTTTTGGTTTTTCACAAGTATCCTCTTTCTTTTGAGAAATTATTAGGTAGTCTTGTAACAAAAGATGCCCAACTAATCCATACATGACATGTAATTTTCTCGTACGTTGAAAAACTTAAAAGCATAGATAGTAATTAGTTAAAATCATAGAAATTTGGCGGTTCTGAACTATCTAATAATTTATCCTTTTAGAGGCTATCATGTATGAAACATGATCAAATACTAAATGTGAAATTAAAAGGTTTCCTTTGCTGGTCTAAATAACATGCAAGCAAGTAAACCATACTATTATGATATGTGATTGGTAAGTAAGAAACCTGTCCAAGAGTTATAGGAAGCAGTCTTCCAATGGGAGGTCCAGGGCGACTCCCACCAAGAGTACGAGAAGAGAAGGCACTGCTATATATGAGTTTCCATCTTCCTTGCAATCTATCAAGACCAACCGAGAGATCCACAACTCCTCCAGCAGCTTCAAGTTCCTTAGCCGCATCATCTGCCTTTCGAAGATCATCTTCATTTGCAGCAAGACCTCTATTCAGCCCAGAAACCGCACTCTGCACTTATTCATCACTAAACCATAAGAATCAAGTTTTGGCCTTTTGGGAAATGGGAACCCAAAAAGGTGAAAAACAAGAATCAACAGCAAAAGCAATATTATAAGATAAGATAGTGTAAGGAGCAAGAAGTGACCAGCAGATTGAGCTTGAAAGAGGAGATGGAATCGGAGGTGTCCCCGGCGTAGGAAAAGGAAGAAGGAGAAGGGTCAGCGACACCCACGGAACTGATAACAAGAGAAGGCCTTGGTTGAGATGGTTTTGGCGCGAGAAGATGGAGGTTGCGGCGGGGCCTGTGAAGGGAAGGAGAAGAGAAGTGAGAGAGCGAAGGTGGAGAGTGGGTAAGGGAAGCCATGAAAGGTGGAAGAGATTTTTGGAGAATTGAGTGTGTGATTGAGATTTGAGTGAGAAAGACAGAGAGAACAACACAACCAACGAGTATCAAATAACTGCCACGTAACGCTTAAATAACTGCTTTTTTATTAACTTCACTTGGACAAAAATCAGGTGATAGAGAGATGCCAAAAACAAATGCGGAGAATTAACGTCATGCTTATGCTTTGGCACTCTAATCGATTACTATAATTGAATATTCTAGGTTTTTCTCTATGTGACTTCTTAATATACAAAGATTAGATCATGAGAAAAATATCATTACGATAAGTCGTGGACGAAATAAAAGAAAACGCCTTTTAATTTTATTGGGATTTTAGTTTGTATAATCCACATGTATGTTTAATATACATAAATAAAATTATATAT